ATATATATATATATATAACTATATATATATAACTTGCTTGCCACTTATTTTTGTAAATAAAGTTTTACTGCAACACAGCCATGGTTATTTATGTATTGTCTATGGTTGCTTTCATGCCACAAGAGCAGAGTTGAGTAGTTGTGATAGAGACCCTATGCCTTCAAAGCCTGAAATATTTATTCTAGCCTTTTACAGAACACGTTTTGCCAACCCCTGGTGTAAATCATTTTCTTGTCCATGATAGATGACTTTCTGGTTAGAATGTGAGTTCTCCATTTAAGTCTTCATTTTACAACAGGCTAGCATAACTATCATTAGAATTTTATAACATAATAGAAATGCATGGCTCAGGAGGAATTTCAAATTTCTTAGATTTTCAAATATGTTAAACTTCAAATATCTAGCTTGAATATTAGGTTTGCATGTGTGTTTCTGTTTTTAAAATGTCAACAAAATCAGTTCTAGAACAGTGGTAAGCTTGTTAAATGTTTACCGCTCAGTGGTTGAAGGGTGAATGAGTGATGGAAAATTAGACCAAGTGGTCTTATCATTAGCTTTTTTTTTCTGTTGTTAAAATTATTGTTGTTAATTCTCAGGGTCTTAATTCTTTAAAACATTTTTTTTTTAAATTGAATCTAGTGTACACAAGAAAAGAATACTTATGTGTATGTACCAAACCAAAAAAGAAAAAGAAAAACTCACTGCCGTCAAGTTGGATCCGACTCACAGCGACCCCTCCTTGGGTTTCAGAGGCAGTATCACTATGGAAGTAGACTGCCCAATCTTTCTTCCAAGGAGTGGCTGGTGGGTTTGAACCACCAGCCTTCTGGTTAGCAGTCCAAATATCTTAGGCCCTATGCCACCAGAGCGCCCGTGTGTGGCTCAATTTGCCACAAACTGAGCGCACCCATGCAGCTTTCTCTTTAGATCAATATACAAAGCATTCTCAGCACCCAGACATTACTCTCTCCCGTGAGGGCAACCCCTATCCTGACGCGTGAGAGCAAAAATTAGTTTCTTGTTTTTGTACTTTATATAAATTGAATCATACAGTATATACTTGTTTTGGTTACCTTGTGCCATTCTGACAAGAGAATACCACAAATGGGATGGATTTAACAAACAGGAGTTTATTCTTATAATTTGGAGGTTTTAAGTCTGAGTTCCGAGTGCTAGGCTCTTGGGGCTGCATGAAAGCCTCTTAATCTTGGGCTTTAGTTCTGCCTCCTGCTCCTGGCCCACTGAAGCTGGAGGCTTTTCTTCACTCAGCTGCTGGCTGCTGAGGCTGACAAACCCATCCATGGTTGACAAGTAACAAGGCACAGTCCAATATTACCAAACCACATGGCACACCATTAATTCAAGTCCATCAAAAGTCCCAAGATCAGTAGGGTCTGGCAGGCTGCTAAACAATGACTTGGCTACGTGGAGGGTTCAAGCGTGCCATAAGCTAGAGACCATTCCCAAAGCTGTTTCTTATATACAAAAAGCAGACCCCATTTGTAAAGCTGCTATTCAGCTGCTCAGAGTAGATTCCACCATGGAGTTGATAACCAGTCTCATCATGGGGAATACTACATCCAGCTGCCCAGCCACTCATCCAGGCCCAACCAAGTTGACACACAAACTTGACTACCACAGTACATCATTACCTGTCACTCAGCTTATATTTGTGTGATATCGCCATTTCATTGTGTGTAGTTGAAGATCTTTTTTATTCTCATTTCTATATATTTCCTTGTGTGACTATACTACAGGTTATTTATTTGTTCTATCATTGAGTATTAGAGTAGTTTCTACTTTGGGATTGGTGTAAATAGTGCTGGCATGAATTTTTTTTTTTTTTTTTTTTTTT